TATCCTACAGCGCCACACCAGGACTCCTGTATGCTATTGCAGAGTTCTCTTTTGTGGGAAAAATTATGGTTGGAAAGGGGAAAAAAACAAAAAACACAAAGCACCAAAAAGAGAGAGAAAATCAATTGTTTTCTTGTTTGATGAGGACACTTTTGTCATGCAAAGCCATGTAATTAAAATGAGAAAGAAGTGACTCATTTGTCATCCCAAATCACCTAAAATAAACACTTGTATTGCATAGCTCTTCATGTATTCTAACTAGCATTGTGAAGAAAATCCGTGAAACAAATTACTACTGTCACCCTGCAGGCTACCACTATGTTAGTCTAAGGAATGAAAGGAACCAGCCTCTGATGCTGCCAGCTGTTTTTGTCAACATCGAAGTGAAAGACTATGTGCCAGACACGTATGCAGGTAAACAACCTAATTTAAAGGAGTAGTTCCATCTGGCGACATTCATAGTTTTGTGGTTTAATATTACCTCTGTGATTCTAGAACTGTCTTTGAGGATGTAATCAGGGTTTTGCCAAAGTAATGTGATTCTGAATACCTTTCTTTCCCCCATCATTTTCTTGTTTTTGAAATGATGGTAATTAGACTGTGATTTCCATCTAGTTCTTAACCTTGTGTGGAAGAATGAATGGATGGTAGATGAATAAATGGATTGAGAGGTAGGGAATGGTATAGAGGGTGGGTGACTGGATAATTCAGTAGTGGGATAGTGATGATGGGTAGATGGAGAAAAGGATGCATGGTTGCATGGATGGATGGGTGGATAATGAATGATTGGCTGTTGGGAGAAAGACTGGATAGATAGATGAGTTGGTTACACAATGGAGAATGGATGGTAGATGAGTGGATAGCTAGGTGGGTGGATGGTTGATAAATAGATGCATAGATAGAAGAGTATAGGTGGATGGCAGGTTGGATAGATGGATGGAGGGATGGTGGATAATCATTAGCTCCAAGACCTTTGACATGAATTGTCTCCTTATTTAGATGTAATTGAAGCTTTGTCAAACCCAATTCGATATGTGAATCTGATGGAGCAGAGAGCTAAGCAACTGGCGGCTTTGACTCTAGAAGATGAAGAAGAAATAAAGAAAGAGGTGAGAGGATCTTCTGATACAATGCAGGGCATTAAGCTTGACTTCCATACCTATCTACTGCCATTGCCTATGTAACTTAACAGTTCAGAAGGAAGACAAAACAATATATTGTAAGAACAGCATTTTGTCAAAAAAAAAAAAAAAAACCCTCTGGATTTAATATTTTCTTTTAATATAAAGGACAGGATTTTAAAAATGCTTCTGTGACTTCTTGTAAAAGGAGCTCTGGTAGCGTAGTGGTTACGAATCGGGCTGC